CCATACCCTCCAGACTGGGCAGCAGCCCGGAGTGAATGGTTAACAGGAATGTTGACCTGGTAACTCACCGACTGAGAAAGGGTGATGCCATCAATTTTCAAGGCTGGGACTTGCTGCATTGGATTCATTTCCTTGAATTCAGCAGAAAACTGTGGAAACAAAACTAAGATTACTGCAACAATAAATTCTTCTTCCTTGTTTTCTTCCCCTAGGACCCAGTTACCAAACCTTTTTTTTTGTTTGTTTTACGTGGCTTTCCCCTCTACCTCAGTACTAATATTTGCAGGGAGTTATGCTGTACTATTAGCCTACAGCAAGCTCCCACTGGGGTGCACAATTCCCTGCTATGCCCCCCCCCAAATAAGTTCTCAGTTAAGATCTCTTCTGGCAACCCACCCCTTCCTTTGGCAGGCCCTTTGCAGACCCTTGCTATATCATTCAGCATCTTTTGGACACACGTCCCCTGCCACACATACTTTATGGTGCTAATTGAATAAGGTCAAGTCTGTGTTTAAATTGCAGTGCAGCTTCTCTGAAGTCTGTGTGCCAGATACGTTCAGTTATATCATGCTAAGCAGGAGCAAGAGATCTTCAACCTTGTGAAATTCAGTCACAGATGTTTAAGAGGAGAAAACCTTTAGTCTCCTGCCGTCATCTTCTCCCTGTCTTGCATGCCAGGGAATACTGGCTGAAAGCAACTATTAATTATAGAGGAGTCATGAGGAATTCAGTGACTTTGCCTGTGAACTTTCTAGTGCCAATCCCAATTCTCCAAATGATCCCCAAGTTCATTACCCCTGGAGACAGCAATGGTAGCTGTATCCTTACCTGCTGCCCCCCATCCTTCACGAGGTTTACTGGCACCGTGTCATAGGAAATCTCCTTCAGAGCCAGTGCTAGGAAAAACAGAGTGTTCAGCTTCAGACAGGCACACTAAGACCAGTTTCATTGGTAATGGGCTCAGGGAAATGTTACCATCTCCATTTGAAAAAGGAATGGCTTTAAAACCAAAAAAAGACCCTATCCCTCAAGAAAGGCAGTCCACTGAGAAGATAGTGCTCTGGCAAATGAAGGACTGAAGCACTGAAGATCAGTCCTGGGAAAACCACTACATTATCCAAAATAAAGGGGACCTGGGCTCTACTACAAATCCTTGCTTAAGACTGTCTCAGTCCATGTAGGGGCCATTCCCAGCCCTGCTTAGCTCTCAAGACCAGGGTCTGAGGCAGTATCAGTGTGAAAACAGAGCATAGGGCCCTTCTAGATAATGTGGAAGAAAGAGCCATCTGCATCATGTTTGCTTTACAAAAGGAGTAATTCCCTCTAAGTAGCTGCAGGCTGAGTGAAGTCCTCTGTCTGTTCCTATCCCTTCCTCCTGCTCCAGGTAGGCTGTGACATTCCCTCTCCTCCCACTCCAGAGAAGGGGAGGGAAATGCCTCACTGTTCCAGGATCATGTTTGCTGATCTCTCTCTTAATACGTGACTGATTAATTCGATTCGTGAAGGGGAGGATACTGCAATAACACCAAGACAATAAAAGAGAGATCAACACCGAATCTTACCAATTCTCACTCTCCAAGAGCAGGAACTTCGGAAATAGCTATAAAGTATCGGCTGAGAAGAGAAAGAGAGATAAAGTGGTTATAAAGTGGAACACCAGAGTATTGTAAGGAGAACAATGCATGAACAAAAGGCATTTCAGGAACTGTAAGACAGAGCAGAGCGAGGTTTGGGGGAGAGAGGGCTCCTTTCTGAAAGTGACTATTCCTGGATTTGGCGTACAGGTAGCGTCACTGTTTTTCATGCTGGCCCTAGGAATATTTAGTTGCAGCTGATGTGTCCAGCAATGCACAAGTGACCTTAAAAATATCCCCTATAAAGCTCCCCTCTTTGTCCCTATGGGATGTTGCTAACTTTTATCCCATCTTGGATTTTTTAAGCCAATTCCCCACTGGTTATGCCAAGCACCTTCCATGGCTATTTGCGTGGCATGAAATGGCTTTTCCAGCCATGTGGGGCTGGGCCAGACCTCTTTCAAAATGAGAAGAGCTACTGCTGTTCCAGATGAATGCCAAGAGGGCAGACAGCTCATCTCTACCTGAACTCCAGCACTGACCAAGGCAGCTTTCACAGACCCTTCCACCCCATCCAAGCTCTCACCTTTTCAGATGCCATGGTCAGCGTGTGCAATCTGCTCCAGGAAATAAAGACAACCTCTTTGCTTTCCCTTTTAACTCAGCTGGGATGGGGGAAGGCTTCTCTCCTAAAGTCAATAAGAAAAGGACTATGCCCCCCATCTGTGCCCAGGGCATGAAAACCAGCCAGTCAGGTTCAATCCTGAGCAACTGTGGTCGTGTGCTGTGGCTGCAGTCCCAGCCCTGATGTCAGAACCATTAACCAGCTCTAAGGTTGGAAGCACATTTAGGAACCATCCTTATTTCCCTAGCTTTTTGTCCAGAAATAAATAAGATGATAGCTAGAGAGCCTGTCAGGCTCTCAGCACTTGCCAGTGCAGAAAGATAGCCCTGGGGAACGAAACAAGGAAACCGAAGCCACGTGCAGAACTTGTGTTTTACTGGGGAAAGACTGCCAGCTCCCCAACCAGGGGCTGCCTTTGGGGGGAGGTCCCTCAGGGTACCCGGTAGCCCTGCTCCCATCAGTACCAGCTGCTGCAGAGGGTTTTCTACGTTGCATGTCTGGGAGAGGCTGCTACTCTGCTCTCAGGCCAAGTTTGTACAAAAGATGAAGCTTGTTTTTTCGTATTACAGTCTTTTCTTTCTGTACAGGAAATTGGTACTCATGCATGTCTCCAAATAAACCCCTAATCATGTCTTTGCTTTCTTCCATAGATCCCATGGCATGCCAGGGAAGTCTCTGTGTCTCCACCCTCCCAAAATGCATAGAAATTACAGCAGAGACTGACAGTATGGCAGAAGAAGGTAGGGATTCACTCACTGACACACAATCTGTCAACAGCAAAACAAAGGGACCCCAGAGATCTCTGTACTCCAGTCCTCTCTGTAAACTTGATGCTTCTGTTACTTTACATGAGGTATGCATTTGATTAAACTACTCTAGGCGAAGGTTACTGGAGAAATGGTTTCTAAGTGAGGAGGGAAGTGGTGTCAGTATTGGTAACACTCTCGTGGACAAAGTTATTACCGATTTTCTTAAATTTTCTGCTTATGGAATTAGGGCATTAGAAATCTCAGCTATGCTTTTTTTTCAAATGTCTAGCCTGCTGGGTTGCAGGGAAAGAAATAGAAACTATGACTTCAAAAGGGAAACATACAGCATTCGTGACATACTATTTTTACTTGTTTTTTCCCAGGGACCTTGCTGGTGATTTTTTTGGCTCAGAAATTCATGTCCTTCACCGCATCTGTTTTGGACTTTGGCCTCTCAGCTGGCAGCGACATTTCTCCAGGTCCTCTCTACAGTTCTTTGTTGTTTTTGCAGCCTGCACTATCATTTGTAATAAATTGTTCTAAGCTAATTTCTTTGCTCTATAATTTTAAAGCCCCTGGGGATTTTACCAAAAGGAGCATGGAAAACAAGCCATCCCTCAGCTGGGAACTGTGTCTCCAGAGGCTGGGGCCTGGAGTGATCCCTTAAGTTCACGCTGTTTTGCTCCCAGCAGCAGGGATGATCGCAGGCAAAACAATCAGCTCAGTGAAGACTGGAGACAGCAGGGATGTTTTATCCTCAGTGGACAGGTCCCAGATATCTAGTCTTCCTCAGACTAAGAGCTGAGAGTGGGCCAAGAGAGAAGCTGGGAAGAACTGCCTCCATTTACAACCCTGCAGGGTACAATGCCCTTAAGCTGCAGGTTGGACTGGTTGGAGCTGGGAGGACAGCAGGTGGACAACAGTTGCTTCATATCTACTGAGATTTCTGGTTTGGTCATGTTTTCATTTCCAGCATCAGCAGTGCAGTGAGGAAAGTTTGGGCTTAAATCCCAATTTAGAGTAAAAGCCTGGGAAATGCATTTCACTGTTTAGGATGATGGAAGAGACACCCCAAACTTTGCGTGTGGAGCCCTGAGGTTTCCAAGCCTGTCTGCTTCTGTATGGTCTCCTCTGGCTACCACCTCCTTCCAGGCTATATTTGGGGAGCACTTGGAAAGGCAAAGTCTTGACACTGCTTTCCTGAGACCCATCACTCCAAACAGCCCGAACACACGGGTGGAAGGACATGGGAGAGAAACCTGCTCCTTGGAGGCTCGCAGAGGGGAAACCTTGGTGGCTTGAATCATAAAGGTGTAAGCAGAAGGTGCAGGTTTGCTCCTAAATGTTCAGTATGTCTGCAGCAGCTCACGTAGATTAAGTATCTTAAGTAAACACCACCACTGCTTTGAAAGGCGTTAGTTTTATTTAGTGTGGGGGGGGCAAATTCCTTGCTCTCCTCTGGGACTGAGACAGGGGTGCAGGCCGGGGCAGCCAAAATCTAGGTAGAAGACGCTGTGCCTGGGGGTGCAGCCCTCTCGGTGACCACCGTCCCGGCCTTCCCGGGCCACCAGAAGCTGATTTAGGCAACCACCCCGGTCAGCTGCCGAGGCCCTCACCGGCCGAGGGTGGAGAGTCACCGCGATCGCCCCTCGCTCCCTCCAGCTCTGCGCCGGGCGCCGCCATCATCCCCGCTCCCCCCCCGCCCGACGGGGACGCTCCGCAGAGGAGAGCGGGGAGCCAAGCCCCGTGTACCTTGGCCGCGGCAGAGCTCATCCCGCGCCGCGACCCTCCGTGGGGGCTTCGGTGCCACGGCCCCGTCCCAACCTCGGCCCGTCGCCGGCCGCAGGGCCGTCCCCTCCTCTCTGGGCTGCCGCTGCGACAGGACTACATCTCCCAGCGTGCCCCGCGGCCCGCCCGCCCCGGGCCCGTTCCTAGGAT